GTTGTATTTTCTAAATATATTCATATACGATAAAAATTTTAAGAAGCCATGTATGATGATCATTAGGTTATCTCATTGTTTTACTATAAATAGGTAACTTTGGAAAGAATTTAAGGAGTGAGTGAGTGAGACAACGTGGTGTAAGAGAGAATATTCTTTCGAGTGAGATAAAAGAGAGAGTTGACCAGGGGTGTAAACGAGCCTAGTCGAGCTCGAGTATTGCTTAGCTCGACTCGATTCGAAAACTCTAAAATGGAGCTCGACTCGACTCAAAAACTCACGAGCTTAAAATTTTCAAGCTCGACTCGAACTCGAAATCCTGAATTGAAGCTCGTGAGTATCTCGAAAATGCTCGAAATGAAAATAGAATTCTTTAACTTAACTCGATTGAAGCCTCAAACTCGAACATGGACCTTAAATACATAAAATCTTATTGTATTTTTTTAAAAAGATCAATACATAAATATTAATATTATTAATAATTTATTTTTAAAAAAATAAAATTTTAATATATTATATTTTCGAGCTGCTCACAAGCTTTTCGAATTGAATATCGAGTAGCTCGTTTCGACTCGTTAAGAACTCGAGTCGAGCTCGAGCTCGACTCCATTCGATCCGTGTATTTATCAAGTCTTGATCGAGTCGATCTCGAGTAGCTCTCGATCTGTGTCACCTCATTTACAACCCTAGTCATGACAGTTTGTTGAAAAAAAATATATACATTATTCATATGTGATAAGATACATTTGTAACCTTTTTTGTTGTTAAGCTAAGGTGATTACAAAGTAGTATCTGTTCTAAATATTGTGAAATAAACACTCAATCACCCTACTACAGTCGCTTATGCTTGAACCCGTCATCTCTAAGAACAATAACGATTCTTGTAACTTACAAGGTATGTTTATACCTTTGTAACCTCAATTAATAGTCAAAAATAAATCTACATTGGACTATTGTTCAAATTGAATATTGAATCAAGCCACTGATAATGAATGATGATGTGTTATATAAAACAATGAGAATCTCTTTTGCCTAATGTTCAAATTTTCAAACAAAGAAGAAAACCCTAATCTGAAAGTAGCCATATTGTCAACCCGCGTTACATAAACAAAGTTTTCAATACCCATAATGGCGCCAAAAGCAAATTATTGGAACCCTAAATACTCAAAACCTGGAAACAAACGATCGATCCTTCTCTGATCAGCGATAGAGCGAGATCGGTTCGGCTTCTTGGACCTTCTCAACCGCTTCCCACCGCACAAGGCTATGATAGCCGCAATATCCTCTTCGATCTCCTCCTTCGAGAGTGTAACCGACAATCGTCGCTTCTTTTGCTTGTCATTCTTTTTAGCTTTGGGGACGCGATCGGCATTAGTCACGGCAGGCTGAGCATCGATCACAGGCGAAGACTCGGCTTTCGGAACAGGACCGAGTTCGCTTGCATCGTTCTTTCTGGCGACGGAGGTATCATCGGAAATCTTGATAGTATTCTGGTTTGAGGGTTCGGCAGCGACGGCGGAGGAATCAGGTACGACGGAGAGATGAGATGAGACCTTGAAGCGGAATCTGAGTTGAGAAACGGAAGCTGAGTTGAGAACGACGGTGCTTTTAGACGATAAAGTAAAATGGGATGAAGCCATGTCTCTTTGCTTGAGGTAATTTGGAACAAGAATGTCCCTTTTATTTGATTTTAATATAATAATAAATAATAGTTTAAGTTATGATAGAAGTATAATTCGCAAGTCTAATTTAATATTTATAAGACTTTATCTATTCAAATTTTTATTTTTAAATAATAAGAATCTATTTTCTCATGCTTAAAATATAATTTAAAATGATAATAAATTCCTTATTTATAGATTTGTAGTGAAGAAGAATATAAAGTAAAATTCAATATTTATTAGAATTTATAATTTGAATTACCGTGCTGTGTAATAGAAAAGAAACTTTTAATGGTAAATTACATGTTTAGTATCTAAACTATTAGTTTCAGTCTATTTAAGTATTTAAACTTTTATTTTTTTCAAAATCACACCTAACGTTTAGTTTTTTTTCATTTTAGTACCCACCGTTAAAACCGAACTATTACAACTTTGCACTTTTTATGGAAAAATTACATCATTCATCACTCAACTATCTTCTCGTTCTTATTTTGGTCATTGAAGTGTTTTTTTTAATTTAATTACTTGACTTTCAAATTACACCTAATTTAACCGGGTGTGATCATACTAGCACTAATGCACTGACTATCATCAGAACTCCACAATTAAGCGTGCTTGGACAAGAGTAGTACTAAGATGGGTGACCTCCTGGGAAGTCCTCGTGTTGCACTCTTCATTTAAGCATAAATCAACTTACCTCAATAGTTAAAGCCTTAAAGGAATCGTTGTTCCTAAGGGCATGTTTGGTTCGGGGAATGTGGGATTACGGGGGGAATGGAATCCACATTCCCCCGTTTGGTTGGCCGATAATCTCATTCCCGGTAATCTTTTATTACCAACAGTGGATTTTTTGGGGTATATTACCGGGAATGTCATTATCCCCTTCCCTTAAGTATTGTTAGATTACCGGCGTTTTGGACTAAAATGCCCTTAATTTGTTTTTTAAAAATATCCTTCTTCTGTCATTGAATAATAAAAATTCTACGAAGGTTAAATTACAAATTTATCCTTAAACTATTTTAGATTTACAAAAAAAGTCTATAATTAAAATTTTATATAAAGTTCAGGGGTTAAAATAAAATTTTACCCTTTCATTAAACCTTTTTATATTTTCAATTTTGTAAAAAAATTATATAAATTTTATGAATTTAAATTTTTTAAAGAAAATATATAAATATCTTATAGTAATATTATAGTAGAATTCAACTTGTTAAAAAAACAAATATATAATAAGGACAATTTGGTCAAATATACATTCCAATAATCTTTATTCCTTTAACCAAACACGGTAATCTTACATTCCTGCTAAACCAACCAAACACAAAATACAACATTCTCAGTAATCCTATTCCCTAGTAATCTTTTATTCTCACTGGTAATCTTACATTTCGTGAATCAAACGCACCCTAGGTAACGGGTTCGAGCACTAACGACTTTATCAGGGTGAGTAAGCGTTCATTATCAAATGGTTCAGAGTATTAAGAACAGATGTTACTTTGTAATCATCTTAGCTTAATAAAAAGAACCTAATTTAATCACCCTAAGCGTTCGTTTGTTTCACTGAAAATATTTTTCGATAGATGTTTTCCGTAAAATGAATTACATTTTCTAGAAAACATTTTATGGTGTTTGGAAGAGATTGTGTAAACCATTTTCCACTGGTTGATGAAATTTTTAAAATTTATTTATTGCAAATAGTAAATACAATAATAATATTATTTATCATAAAAACTTATTATTATTTTTAAAATATTAGAATAATTTATTTATTATTATTAAATATTATGTCTATAATTTTATTAATAAATATTAAGATTAGTACATTTTATTGAAATAAAAATATTATAAATTTTATTAATTATTTATTAAAATAATAATATTATATCATATTTTAAAAAGTATTATTTAATATATTTTAAATATATTATTATTATATTTTAAATATATTTTAAAAAGTATTATTTTAAAATATTATTATATTATTATTATATATTAAATACATAAATTATTCATTATTAATATTTTAATAATATTATTTCTATAAAATTAATAAATAATATAAATTTTATTAATAATTTATTATATTATTAAAATAAAAATATAATATTCTATTATTAGAACTATTAATAAATATATTTTAAATATTTTAATAATTAATATTTTGATTAAAATGATATTAAAATATTTTATTAATATTAAATTCATAAAACAAAATTATTTTGAATATTTACTCTTTGGAGTGAAAATTTCGGAAAATGACTTACGGAAAATCAGACCGTAAATCATTTTCCAGAAAATACAAAGGAAATTATATTAACTAGAAAAATATTTTACGTTGACCAACCAGTTTTCCTCCAACCAAACGTTGGAAATTGTTTTCCGAAAAATGTTTTACGTGAAACAAATAAACCCTAACTTTCAAATTTAATTTTTTATTTCAATTATATATTAATAAAATAATAAAAAATATCATGTCACAAAATAGTATTAATAAAATAAATTAGAGTGATTAAAACATAAGCAATTTGAAAGTTGAGTAGTTAAACTGAAAAGTTTTTCAACTTTAATGACCAAAATAGGAGTGAGAAGATAATTAAGTGATGCATGATGTAAATTACCCATAAAAAATGTCATTTTCATTAATTTTTTGACGTTGAATACTAAAATAAAATAAAAATTAACCGTTAGGTATGTTTTGAAAAAATTAAAAGTTTAGATACTAAAACGAACCAAAATTGATAGTTTAAATACTAAATGTGTAATTTACCCTTAAAAGTATTAAGAATTTTGTAAAGTATTATTAAATACAAAATAATAATAATAAAAGTTTGAAACATTAAATAATAAAAGCCGAACATATAAAACATAAAAAATGTAATATTAAAAACTTCCGAAATTTATTTGATGCTTTTCTTTATAAATGAAAAGTTTATTAATATTATTAAAAATTCCAATTTTAGTTGATATAAAATAAACTTTTGTTCCTAGCTCTAAATTAAACAATAGTATTTCATGACCAACAAATAAATGTCTAATGATATTTTTAACCCTTAAACTTTTAAAAAAAAATATTTTAGCCTTTAAAAAAATTGCCTCTTCCAAGATGCATGATGCATGTGAACAATGGGAGTGGAACCACAGAATGTAGTTTTCTTCCAGTGACTGTAAAATCTAATTGATGGGCAAATCCCAATCCGGCAGCCAAGCATGCCATGCAATATTGCTTTTTCGAGGATTCAGGTTTAAATAATTATGTCTATAGATACATGTACGTTACCAATATACTACAAAAAATTTCTCCCATTTTGTGGCAACCCTAAGTTTAGTAGTAGTTTAGTTTCGGTACCTTGACAATACTAGCAAGTCTATTCAAATCCAAAACTTCATTCAAGTAGCTGCACTTTTCATGTGCTCGGCTTGGAACCGCCTTAATTGCTGCAAAGATCGATAATAGAGATCAAGGTCAATACCATTGACGTTCCTACCGGTACGCGCTTGCAGTACCGCCTGTGATAAATCATATAACCAGAACATATTAGTGTTCGATAGGGAGACGGGCAAAAAGGCATTTTAGCCTGATCGTATACGAATTTACCTCACTGTTGGGTTGAATATGGAGTTCACCGCTGAATTGCAGTATCGAGCAGATTCGGAAATCAAGTGCCCTCAAGTGCTGCGTATCTATCTTTAGGGTGGCACCTTGATCAGCAATAACAGCTATGGCTGTCTCAACTGAATACTCTTGCAGCCTAGGGATATTACATCACATCATAAAGATCAACCAACTAACGAATAAAAGTAATATACCGATGGTGCAATCATCCGGCAACTCAAATCAAGAAAATCGGCACATAACCGTTAAGGCATTAAACCATTGTTTAAACTCTGTACCTAAACCAACTGTTTTATGACCTTTCATGCTACTAAAAGATCACAGCATAGAAAGAAATCCGAACAAGAACAATGTTATTTAAGAAATCACAGCCCATAACACCCGACGAAAACATATTGTACCGAATAATAGGCCATATCATACAGCTTGCTACTGGAAAATCTTAATAGATATTCTCTGCACAGGTTCAATTCATGTTTATAGGCAACCTTTTCCTCTTATCTAAGGTGCACAACTAGATGCACCCTTGCATCAATTCTTGAAGCCAAACCCATCATGAACTTTAACTTCACGCACGATTTCGATTCCCATTGCCATACCAAAAAAAAAACCCACCACTTCCACCATCAACTTGCTCATTTGGCATCTCCAACCGACAAATACCGCGTCGTTAGCCGCCACCAATTTCTAGCTACCTTACATATCGTGTTGTGCTGTTTAGCCTCTAATGCCACCATACTTTTCCATCTCTTCCTCCGTTAACCATTACTAATTATTCCGATAATACAGACCGCTGCAACAAGACCTCTTACCCTACTGAATTTCTAAGTTTTCAATGGACCGAGGTCCCGGACCATGCTTGTTCATGAAACAATGTAGCAAGTATAGAATTGTTATTGATCATAAATTGTAAGGTAATCATTCCAAGACAGATACACACTAATTCTCATAGTAGCTTAGCTGTAAATTCAACCCTGTTTTATCTGAACTTCCACCTTCATCAATTGCCTTCTTACCCGAAATTCTTACACTCAATTAAATCCTTCTTAATCTTTTCACCCTTTTCTCCAAATAACTCATCTATGTCTCCCTTTTCATAAATCATTTCTCATTAGGACAAACACTAATTCCTCTATATCCACACAGTATTAGTTTACCAACTAAGAGAAACTTGGAACAGATAATAAAATTAGACAAAGATGCGTTTATAAAAGGGGTTAAAAGTTTAAAGGTCTTACTTTCCGGTTACTCTAAGTGAAGCTCCTTCCTTAAAAAATTCAGAAGATGGCTGAAGCTCAAGTAAAGTAACCAATGCCCCTGATTTAATTGCCGCCATTGAACAACCAAGCACTCTTTGAAACGAATTTGAATCCTATCTCTGCCTGCAATATAAAAATAAACCCAAATAATGATAGAATTATATAATCATTGAGGGAAATCCCACAAAAATGGAGGGTTCTTTTTTCATATTTACCTCTCCAAGGAATGGGATTAAGTAATAAAGAGAACTCAAAAAGGAAAAATAAAAACGAAGTTCAGTAAGGCAAATTATCGAACAGTTTATGTGCAACCCGGTATTTGTTTGCTTTTTCTGGCCCAGAATATAATCTTTGAAGCCCATAAGTTAGTTCGATTCTAATCCAATTTTTAACGGAGGGTCTATCACAGTTATGTTTTTGTCATTCAATTTTTTTTAATTTATATTTAATGTTACGTTTTGTTTTATTTTAGTCATCTATCGTAAAAAAAACTAACAAAATTGTAGATATAAACTTTTTTTGTTTTTCAATTGTGATATGATATTCTCTTATTATGCCTGATTTAATGCTCGTTGAATGTTCGGTGGTCGTGCGACGTTGAGTTTTTGGTTGATTTTCAATATCGATGGTAGTCGACGGGTAAGGGACTAGAATGAGAGTTTAAAAAAAATCATGGATTTGAGTTTTTCTATAATTTTCAAAAATTTGATCTTTTAAAAAATTTATATTCTAATTTTTTTAATAAGAATGTCAAAAAAATATAAACAAAATACGTATCAAATAACGATTTTTTAATCATTACAACATATTCAGCCTGTAACGCAAATTACTTTATAGGAATACAAATTATTTCTTATTAATTATTGAAGAAAAATCTAAATAATATTATTTAAAGAAATTGCATCATTTTCGATCATATACGAGATAAAGACGCAACTAATTGGTAACGTCTTTACTTTGTGTGAACTAACAAAAAATTTACTAAAAGTTTATGCTTTTTATTGACGTGACAAGTCCACATGTTATGTTACGTCAATAAAAAATGTTTTTAAAGTAAATTATAGTTTGAATTAATTACATATATATATATATATATACATAAAAATATATTTAAAAATAAGTTAAAAATAACTTTTTGATGATGTAGTATCACATGTGGGCATGCCACGTCAAAAGGAATCATTGATCGTTAACTAACTAACGATTTTCATCTAATCGGAGGGCATTTTGCTTCAAAATAAAACATTAAGGACTAAAATGCCGGAAAAGAATAAGGAACGAAATGATTATTTCTGCAAATGTCGGGAGTGATATTTTTATTATGCCTATGGAAAATTCTACAACGCTCGACGAGCGACAATGAGCGCTGATAAATTAATTTATAAAAGTTTAAAATTATAAACGACTGAAAGTGTAATTAAAAATTAGTTGAAAATTTAAATGTAAATTATTTAAAATAAAGGGTAAATTGTACAAGTGACCACCTAACTATTGCCTCTTTTTCATTTTGACCACCATTTTTGAAAGTTAATCATTTCACTCAAATATTTAAATGCATTCAATTAAACCACTTGTCGTTAATATTTACCGGAGAACTGATGTGACAGTTAAAATATTTAGTATACTAACATATCTGGTCATTGTTATTTATATATTCTATCAATTTGATCCTAATTTTAATAAATTAAAAAAACTTACCCTAAAAGCTAGTAATAGCAACAAACAAGTTACAAGCCAAATTGACTATGCAAAACGTGACCTTTTCACCCACCATTCAATTCAACCCAATGCCAAAAATCGGTCCCATTGATTTCAATGAACAAAAAACTAACTATATATTTGAATTTCAAAAGTTTCCTGAGGTAGTATTTGGGAATTCAGATTTCGAATTTCGGATTATGAATTTAAAAATAATGCTAGTCCATATTTCTTACACGCGACGGATTTGATCACGTTTAGGTCTACCGTTTGATTCTTCCATGAAAGTTTCACTATGGAGTTGACAATTTCGGCAATGGCTCGAACTCGGGCCTCTTCTTTGGTTTACCATGTAATAAGTTAAAATTAAGACAAGTGACGCATGCCATTACACTTGGCACCAGTGATACATGACACCATTTGATTTGAATGTTAAATTTATTTTAATTTATTAAAATTATGGACAAATTAATATAACATATAAGTAGCAGTGATCAAATGTGTAATTATACAAAATATTTTAACTGCCACATCAACTTGTCCATTAAATATTAACGGAAAGTGACTTAATTGAATGCATTTATATAGTTGAGTGGCCTAATTGACAAAATTTCAAAACTAGTGGTCAAAATGAAAAGGGGCAATAGTTAGGTGGTAACTTGCATAGTTTACCCTTTATTTAAATAATTTATATTTAAAATTTTAACTAATTTATAATTATAAGTTAAGTCCTTTATAATTTAAAACTTTTAAAATTAATTTATCGATGTTTATCGTTAATGATGTTCATCGCCGCTCGTCGAACGTGAAAGAATAATCCTACGCCTAATATAATTAAGTTAACTCATGAATTTATAAATAAGTTAACTCATTATATCAGATTCGATATATTTATAATATTGATCAATAATAAATAATTTTAAAAATAATTATAATACTGTTAAATATACCGGTGGTCCCGGTTTTCCGGTAACCAAATTAATGGTATTGCGGTTTCTTCCGTCCATAGCACAGACTTTGACTCGTTGAGAAAGATCAGAAGGCTGAGATCACGTGATCTGTGATCATGTGGGACCACCTGATTGAAAGAGACAAACTAAAGTAAGACAATTTGGACCCGCTTAGCAAAACCGTGCGCATCTAAAAGTAACTACCTATGTCGAGCGACTATTTTGTAATTTTTAATAGTTAAATAACTCAGTAAAATATTATTCTATAGTCAGGGGACCATCTGTATATTTTACCCTTTATTTTATTAATTGTGTTCATCTTAAGATTTTATTTGTACCAACTCATAAACAAAAAAAAAAATGTTGTTAATATATATGTGCTCACCCTAAATTTTTTTATAGATGTATCATTACGTGTAGGGGACAACACATTTGTAGTATAACATGAGATTATATCTTTAAAAATACACTTTTGGAGCTCTTAGAAACTCCCATATTTTGTTAATGTTTATAGTGTATTTGGCATGATATATGACAGACTCACGTGATCCATTAGAGTTAAATGTACCGTTAGACGATCATATCTATTAGTCATGCTAACTTACGAGTAGCTACCATAATGATACATCTAATACTATCACTAAAGATGATTATAGAAGTCAGCATGTATTGTTGAAGAAAAGCGATATAAACTCTGTCTCTCTCTCTAAATATCTCTCATAGTAGTGTATAACTTATTCTTCGGTTCCTTTGAATTATCAACTATAACTCTTTACCTAAATTAAAAGGATTAAACCGTCAAAAGGTAATTTCTTTCTGTATATTTATCACAATATTGTATATTTTGTTCTTCAATTCATTTGAATTATCAACCATAACTCTCTACCTAAATCAAAGGATTAAGTTGTCAAAAGTCATTACAATTCATATTCTTTTCGTCAACAACAAGGGTAATTTTTTTACAATATCTATAATGATATAAATAAGGCAATTTTAAGGGAAAATTACAAGTTTAATATCTAAATTATCAGTTTTGATCTATTTTAGTAGTTAAATTTTCAATTTTTTTAAATCATACATAAAGCTTTGCTTTTTGTTTCATTTTAGTACCCGTCGTTAAAAATTTTAGTTTTTGTTTCATTTCAAGTAACTCATTCAAAATTTTACGTTAAGTTTTGAAAAGATTGAAAGTTAAGTATTAAAACGTATAAAAACGAATAGTTTATATACTAAATATATTAAGTTTTTAACGACAATGTACTAAAATGAAAACTAAATGTTAAGTCTGGTAAGTTTAGATATTAAAATAGACCAAAACTAATAATTTAGATGCTAAATACGTACTTTACCCTAATTTTAACTTTTTTTTTCTTACATCAAATCATAATTTATATTTAATTATATGAATTAAGGAAAATTTTACAACACTCGATGATTATCGATGAGCACTATTAATAAATAGCAACATTAATTTAATTTATAAAAATTTAAATTCTAAAGTACTCAACATATAATTATAAATTAGTTAAAAAATTAAAAGTAAATTATTTAAAATAAAGGATAATATGTACCATTGACAACATAACTATTGTCCTTTTATATTTTGACCACCATTTTTGAAATTTTGTCAATCAGGCCACTCAACTATTTAAATACATTCAATTAAGTCACTTGTCGTTAATATTTAACGGAGAAACTAATGGGGCAATTAAAATATTTGGTATAATTACACATTTGGTCACTATCACTTATATATTCTATCATTTTGTTCCTAATTTTAATTTATTCAAGTTAAATATTATATAAAATTATTAGATATATTTATAATTTTTTTATAAAAAGTATTTTGAGAATAAAGTACTGATTAAAGTATTTTGAGAATTGATTTTAGGATGGAATTTACAAAAAGAATTGCAGTAAAAAATCAAGTTGAATAACATATAGGGTAAACTAGATATTTAGTCACCTAATTATTCATGTGATTTCGTTTTAGTCACCAAACTATTGTTTTTTTAAAACCATCACTAACGTTACGTTTTTGTTTTATTTTGATCAACAATCGTTAAAAAAGTTAACAGTGATGTTAACATGTAACCATAAGGTAATGCCACATAATCATTGATAAAAGAATGTCAAGTCAATAGTTCTGTTAATTTTTAACAGTAGATGATCAAAATGAAATCAAAACCTAACATTAGTCAAGATTTTGAAAAATAAATAATTAGGTAACCTAACAGAACCAAAGTGATAGTTAAGTGATTAAATACATAATTAATCTTTTTTAGTTGGGAAACTTTCTCGGCCTGTCATGAGAAAAAGCTTTTAAAATTCATATTAATTTGGAGTAAGTACAAGATGATATAGATAACTCTCAACCGTTTAACCGCATCCCAGAAATCCAGAAAATTAAATAATTTATAATGATAACTTTTTATTATATATTTTTTTCTTTATTATTATCATAATTCATTGTTTTGTGACGGTATAATTTCTAATAATTTTATAAAGTATAGAGTATACATATTACATTAAAGTAATTATAAAAGTTGTTTTTGAATCAATATTTATATGTTGAGAGATATAGTGTTTGAATTGATAACGACAAATACAAGGTTGATGGCTAAATAATACTCCATGTATTTATCATTATTATATATGATAGAATAAAATCAATTCTTTTTTATTTTAATTTATTAAAATTATGATCAAATTGATATAATATATAAGTAACATTGACCAAATATGTAATTATACCAAATATTTTAACTACCACATGAGCTTATCCGTTAAATATTAACTACAAGTGACTTAATTGAATGCATTTAAATAATTGAGTGACATGATTGACAAAATTTCAAAAATAGTAGTCAAAATAAAAAGGGTCAATAGTTTGGTGGTCACTAGCATAATTTATCATTTATTTTAAATAATTTACTTTTATTTTAACTAATTTATAATTATACGTTGATTCCTTTAAAATTTAAAATTTTAATTTTTTATAAATTAACTTAATGATGTTTATCGCTCATCGTACTCGTCGAGCGTAAAAGAATCATTAATGAATTAAATATGATAGTGACGTTAAATAAGTTTCCAATTAAGTTGTAATAATTAACATTAATAAAATGATATTTTTAATTTTCATATAATTTTAAATAAAATAATTCAAAATCATTGACTGAATAAATGAATTTACACATGCACTTATACAAGTCAACCGTCAAAAGGATATAGAGAGAGAAAGAGACAGATAAACAAAAACTCGCGTAAAAACGACAGGGACAGGACGAACAAGGAAGTTGATGGGTGGAGGGACCCACTGGACGTGTAATGAATATTCGTCAGATTTGAATTATAGGTTTCGGATCCGCTCTTATTTCCTATAATCCCACACAACGATAAGCGGATAAGCAGTCATTCACTTATCGGGATAAGCGGTCATGCACTTATCGGGATAAGCAGAGTTACTTTTCATTGATATGACAGTAGAAAAAGAAAGACGTCTGTACAACGCATACAAGATAGCTAGACCACGTCGCTCTCTATTTTATATCTCTTCTTTATCTTCTCTTTTTCTTGTTCATAGCATTTGGAACCCTATAAAAACATCGAAATTCGAGCTTTAACATAAACGTTAGAAGAGGAAGTGCTGCGAGTCTCTCGAAATTAATTCAGATTCGAAGTTAGAGCTGAGTCAAATCGACCGGAATCGTTCCTTGACTCGGTTGGTTTCGAGGGAGCGACTTTCCCTTTTGTTTCCGAGAAGTGAAAATGTCGTCGTTGAGCAGAGAATTGGTGTTTCTCATACTTCAGTTCCTGGAGGAAGAGAAATTTAAAGAGTCGGTTCATAGGTAAGCCTTTTCTTTTTGAAGATTTTGTGTAATTTAATTAATTTCTCTGTATACGTGTACGTACCGTGTATTCGTATCTTTTACTTTGTATTCTCGTTGTTTTGGTATGTATAAGTAGAAGGAAATGAAGGAAAATTTTGTGAATCTAAAGTTACCTTGGGGGTTATTATGGTGAAATTTGTTTTGGTAATTTTAGTAGCTAATGTAATTTGAATTTTAGCGGTGCTGAATGGTGATAATTAGAGGATTTTGGATGTTGAGGGAAGTTTTT